TGCTGTCCATCCCCCAGGGAGGAGGCTATACATAGATTCTTGTAATCGGTTCCCCCTTTCCACCCCACATTCCCTCCACCCCCCAGGCATCGCCACTCTCACCACTGTTCCTGGAGGGCTCTTCTGGAACACATTTCTTTTAATGAAATATTACCATATTTTATTAAGCTGGCTAAGAACTAAAAGCCCACTGGTCATGTAAAATTTCAGTATTTCTTAGTTGACTCATTCGGAAGTGTTCTAAAATAATTATATTTTATAGCTGGGTCTGCATTTAAAACCCTAGTGGTATATTATTCCTATGAAATATAAGAAAATGAAGAAAAAAACTCAAACAAAAAAGAAATATGAGAAAAAGGAAATAAAAATGCCATTTGCACGTGATATTATATGGGAGAGAAAAATATACTTCAGATTTTTAGAGAACGAAATAAGAAACAACAACTATATTCTTTTAGATATTTCCTCCTGTGTATTTGTATATGCATGGTAGTATTTTTTTAGTTTGTTCACTACACTATCACTAGTTTTCTTTTGCCAAACAGTATAGGAATGATACTAAACATCTTTTAAAGAGGGGGGAAGGGAGAGGGGTGCCAACAAACCCAGGGACAAGGGAAGAACAAGTGATCTAAAATTGATGGCAAGGAGAGGGCATGGGATGCCGGGGCTGGCCTTCATAGAGGGCAATGTAGTCAAGAGGAATTACTGAAACCCGAATAAAATCTGAACATGATAGTGGGATAAGAGAAAAGAACTAGGAGGCAAAGGGCATTTATAGAGGTCTAAATACAGGTATGTATATATGTAAATACATTTATATATAACAATAGATGAATAGATTTATGTACATATATTTATTAAGGTAGCAGGCGGACATTGGGACTCCACTCAAGTACTCCCTCAATGTAAAAACACTTTGTGTTACTAACCCGGTACTCTGTGATGCGCACCTTCCCTGACATGATGGCTGAAGACAAAGTGGGTGCCTAAGCAAATGTGGTGAAGAAAGCGGATGGTGCACAGCTATCAAAAGATACAGCGTCTGGGGTCTTAAAAGCTTGAAGGTAAACAAGGAGCCATCTAGCTGAGAAGTAACAAAGCCCACATGGAAGAAACACACCAGCCTGTGTGATCATGAGGTGATGAAGGGAACAGGTATCAGAAAAACAAAACAAAATTATCAAGGTAAATGAGGGGGAGAGCAGAGTGGATATCCAAAGCCCATCTCTTCTCAATTGCACATCTCCTTTCAGAAGGGTCACACGGAAGAGATGAGCCAGTCAGTGTGCAGTATAGCAGTGACAAAACACGCAACTTTTCTCTATTTTTTTTAATGCTTCCTCCCCCCACACTGCACTATCATGACTTCAATTGTACCTTACAAATCCAGCTAGACCAGAGCATGTACACTGGTACAGACAAGAGCTCGCAACAGGGAATCCAGGACAGGTAAACCCCTCAGGACCAATAATGAGAGTAGCAATACCAGGAGGGGAAGGAGAAGGTGGGGGGAGTTGGGGAAACTGATCACAATGATCTACATATAACCCCCTCCCAGGGGAACAGACAACAGAAAATTGGGTGAAGGGAGACAGCGGTTGGTGTAAGACATGAAAAAAATAAGTTATCAAGGGTTCATCAGGGAGGGAGGGTGGGAGAGGGAGTAAAAAATGATACCAAGGGCTCAAGTAAAAGAAAATTATTTGAAAATGATGGCAACATCTGTACAAATGTGCTTGACCTAATGGATATATGTATGGATTGTGATAGCTGTAAAACACCCCATTAAAATGATTAAAACATCTTTTACATATGTAACCCTGAACTGTGTGAGATTTAGATTGTCAATTCTTTTGAGTTGAGCTTGGATACAGCTGTGTCAAGTATGACCGTTAAGCCAGACTATTTTTTCCCTTTTTATTTTAGGAAAAGATGTTTGTCAATGAAGAAAATGTTAATGAGTTTCTTGATGAGGTCCTGAGCTCTTCATTGAAGCAAGCACTACCCCTAGTTCCACCACTAATTGAAGTTCTTCAAATTACTGATGATAATATTCAAATTCATGCAAAGGTAAGGATTTTGGTAGGTTTTATAAAGGACTAATTTAGGATAGATAAAACAATAAATTAATTTTTTTTCTTTAACTTCTTTCATGTTAAAAAAAAATTTTTTTTTTAACATTTTATCAGGGGCTCATACAACTGTTATCCCAATCCATACACACATCAATTGTGTAAAGCGCATTTGTACATAATTTCTCAAAACATTTTCTCTCCATTTAAACCCCTGACATTAGGTCCTCATTTTTCCCCTCCCTTCCCGCTCCCCCTCATGTTAAAATTAACAATGGCATGAGAGAGAGGCAGAAAAGCGTGTGTGTGTGTGTGTGTGTGTGTGTGTGTGTGTGTGTGTGTGTTCACTTTCACTTATCATCTCATTTAATCCCAAAATAACCCTGTTAGGAGGCACAAAGAGAAAATAGCACTCTAAGTCTGAGCACTAGTCCAGACACACACACAAATCTGTTTCCTCATGGAAATAATACCTACAGTCTGTTCATTCTTTGTATTTGAAACATATTTAATCATGTACAAAGGAGTCCTGATGGCATAGTGGTTATGAATTGGGCTACAATCTGCAAGGTCAGTAGTTCAAAACCACCAGCTGTTACCTGACAAATATGGGGCTTTCTACCCACCTTAAAAATCTTGGAAATTTAAGTGTTTTGAGAATGATGAGGGAAATGAATGTACAAATGTGCTTTACACAATTGATGTATGTATGGATTGTGATAAGAGTTGTACGAGCCCCTAATAAAATGATTTAAAAAATTAAATTAAAAATGTAAAGAAAAATCTTGGAAAGGGTAAAAAGAGGAGTGTATGCCAAGTGCTCAAGTAGGAAATGTTTTGGAAATAATGATGGCAACATATGTACAAATATGCTTGATGTATGAATGTTATATATGCTGTAAGATCCCCAAATAAAATTACTTTTAAAAAAATCTCAGAAACTCCCAGGAGCAGCCCTACTCTGCCCCATAGGGTCATTGTGAGTCAGCATCAACTCAGTGTCAGAGATTTTTAGTTATGTTCATACTCTTCAATATTGAGCACATTAAAAACAATTTAGTAATGAACATAATTGACAAACTGATTGGGATGGGGGCGGGGTACTCTGAGTAAGCACAGAAATTCAAGAATGCCCTTATAAGATTGATGGCTATTAGGTCAGGTTGAAGAGTTTTGGGTGGGTCATATTGAAAAGTTTGGGTTGTTTTATCTTAAAGGAGATGAGTCATTGAAAGGATGTAAACAGATAATTTATGCCAGGCTTGCATTATTAAAATATGACCGACAGCAACTGGAGGATAGCTATTAGGGAAGACGAGAAGCTTGGGAGAGGGCTTCAAACAGCTCATGGAAGTCCAAGATAGATAAATCTACAGCGATAGTAACCGGATGAATGGCTCCTGTAGGTATGGCAGGGGGTTGGGGGGAGCTGGGGAGCCAATAACAATAAATACAGGAGTGAAGAAAATATTCTAAAATTGATAGGATGATTGTACACCTCTTCTTGATGAGACTGAACTATTGTATTGTAAATTATATGCCAATAGGGGATGAAAAAGTTCATGGACAAATTTCATTATCTTTTAATTCCATTTTCCTTAAACTTCTTGAAGCCTTGCATATCTGCAGGTCTGCAAAGGTTATTCTCTTACAACTTTTAAAGTCTCATTCCCAGAGGACACTTCAAGTTAATTTTCTGTTTGTGGCAAAGAACTCTCCTAATTTATTATTTCTCTTGATATAGTTGCAAGAAAATAGTAACTCTGATCAGCCTCATGTAAAGGATGGAGTCCATGAAGGAAGTTGTTTGGCTAAAGAAGGAAACACCACTACAACTGAACAAGAACATACACTGCGAAGTGCCAGATCTTCCGATTCCTCTATCATAGCAAAGGATGTGCTAGGAGCAGAGAGTTGTGGTTCAGTTGCCTTCCTGCAACAAGAGTCTCTTGATGTTTCTCAGGAGCTACTTGGGAAATCTCAGCAACCTGAGTCAAAAATGGAACCTGAATTTATAAAAGAGAAATGTGCCGGTTACTCAAATGAACCAGAATTAACTGAAGAAAAAGAGTTAAATGTAGATCACCTTTCTTCACTACAAAACAAAAGTACAGCTCACCATATACCTGCTTTTGAAAGCATAAAAGAAACCAATATGCAGGATGGCAGTGTGCAAATTATTAAAGATCATGTGACTCATTGTGCATTCAGTTTTGAGAATCCATTGCTGTATGACTTAGATTGATTCTATACAATTTTGGAAGTTAAAGGTTAATAATTTTGTTTTAAGTAGGACCTAAAATAGTCTATTAAATATTCATTGCTTTACAACTAAATCTATTCATAAAAGTATAAGGTTAAAATCTGTAATTTTGATTCTAAGTGTTTTGCTTTTGCTTTGTGGTATTTGCCTCCCAGAGAAGTTAATTTTCCTTAATTTTGGAGGTAAATTTTGTGATTCCTCTGATGTTTTTCTAGTGGAAAATTAAACTAGTTTTATTAAAACCTTTATCTCTTCTGTATTTTTTTATGCTTTTTACCATTATATTAATATTTTCTAAATAAATATTCACTAAGTTATAATGCCTATTACAAAAATAATTCTCAAGAATACAATGAACTAGTGGAGGGAGGGTGGGGTGGAAAGGGGGAACCGATTACAGGGATCTACATATAACCTCCACTCTGGGGGACGGACAACAGAAAAATGGGTGAAGGGAGACATCGGACAGTGCAAGATATGACAGAATATAAATTATCTAAGGTTCATGAGGGAAGGGGGAGTGGGGAGGGAAGGGAAAATGAACTGATGCCAGGGGCTTAAGTGGAGAGGAAATGTTTTGAGGATGAGGACAATGTACAAATATGCTTTACACAATTGATGCATGTATGGATTGTGATAAGAGTTGTATAAGCCCCTAATGATTAAAAAAAAAAATACAATGAACTAGAAATGAGTTTGTGCATACGTGCTAGCTAGCTAGTCTCAAAACTGTTAAGGTTGTGTCATGCAACAGGATGTATTTATGCTTAAAATAGAGCTTCTTAACAAATAACTTCACTAACCAATACTGGCAATCTAAACAATTACAATAAAACAAACAAATTTAAATTTGGCATTTTCCACTTCAACTATATATTTAAATTTACCCTTTAACAGACTCTTGGAAATTACTATTTTAGTATTAAAACATCTTTTGGTCTTATATAATACCTTTAAGAACTTTAGAACAAGATAAAAATCTATTTGCTTCCATAGGAAAATGTTCATTGTATTATACATGAAAATAAAACAAAATGGTCAGTGTTTACATAAGTAAATAGATTTGTGGGGAAATATTTTTATGTAAGACAAAGAAAATTTTAACAGATTTGTATTATACAAAATTTTATAGGAGAGAATAAAAGTTGCAGGAAAGAAAACGAATTGATTTAATGGAAATCATAAGTTGATCCATTGGCTTTATAAACAGTAATTCAGACATCTGGTCTCCCAGCTCAGTCCTAGAAAGGACCTAATTTCTTTCAACTGGGATATAGGACAAGCACACCAAAAACGTACAAAGCCTGGTGATTTACATTGATTTACATTCACTGCTCCTGGGTAGTCGGACCCAGATTGGCATGTGAGAGTAACGGAGCAGTAGTACATGTATTTTTCAACCACAATCCAAAACCCGTTCCTGTAGCCTAGATTTCTGACTGAAAGCAACCCTACCAAGGAGCCCTGGTGGCGTGGTATTACAAGTTGGTGGTTAACCTCAAGGGCAGCAGTTCAAATCTACCAGGCACTGTGAGGGAGAAAGTGAGGCTTTCTGTGCCAGTAAAGATTTACTGTCTTGGAAACCCCCAGGGGCAGTTCTACTCTGCTTTATAGGTCACTATGAGGCACAAGGGACTAGGTGGCATTATGAGTAGTGGCCCTACAGGGCAGAATTACCTATGGAGTTTCCAAGCAGCTAGATGCAAACTGCTACGTCTTTCTCCCAGATAACTGGTGGGTTTGTACTGCTGAAGTCAGCTTGCAAGTTAGCAGCCCAATTCATAAACCCCTATGAATCTTTCACAGCAGCTGAGTAGTTAACACCACCAGGGCTTATTTTCAACAATGTGAACTTTAAATGGATGTAATCGTGATTTTGAGACTGTCAATGTAGTATAAAATTTTCTTTTATTTAAATAAAGTTTTTGCAGAAATTGTCTTGAGTTCAGCTTTCCTTGAATGCAATTTTACTTGTATATTATTAAAGGAAATTTCTACATTAAATAAGGAGTAAATGTTAAGGCTGCTTCCTGATTTTCACTTTTTCTGTCCTTTAAAAAACATGATTTGTTAAAGCTGGCACTGCGAAAGGGTTTTACTTGGGCAAGAGTGAACTTTGTATCATTTATAGCTTCCAAAACAATTCAGTCTGTTATTTCCCTTACACAGCAACTTCTTATTGTTCATTATCTATGCTTGGCTAATTTGAAAGCCAGTTTCTTCCAAAGGGAATGCACTGTCATGAGCCCAGCTTTGTTTTTTTTCAAACTCAATTACACAGTGTACAGATACTAAATATTAAGATGTGATGCTAGCCTTCAAAAATCCCAGACTGCCTGTACTGAGTTTTGGAGTAAAATAATAATAAATTTTATTCTGAAAAAAAAAAAAATTCTGAAAAATTATTAGGAATATTTTTTATGAAAAACAAGTATTTTATTTTGGCAGCACTAAAGAAAGGGGAGGAAAAAAACCCAAACAAACCATTGTATTTCTTCGTTGAAGTGAAAGCAATGTTTCAACTTTCTTATCAAATACATTTCAAAGAAAATATGTTCAATGAAGGTTCCAAAGCACAGGCAAATCTTAACACAATAATACAGGAATCTGTAATACTGAAAAATGGCTGTTATGACAGTGTGTTTAACAAACATAACTTTTCAATTATAAAACCAGTGAAGAATGCCCTTCCACATAACCACGTCAAGAGTGAAACAGTTTGTTCCGTTAATACTCTAGCAACTTCATTGTAATAACTTTTTATTCTTGTGATCATTTTAAATAAACTTTGCTGTATTTAAAATAAGTTTTAAAAGTGGAAAAGAGTACAAAGTTCCAGATAAAAAGATTAATAGATGCAATTTAATATTTTCCCCTCCTCTCTTACCAATTAACAATAGTGATTACTTTTAGCATAGGGGTTGAACTTTAAGACACAACCCTAAAATGAAAACTTTAGCTTTAAATTTTAATCCGATATAACTAGAAAGATTACAATATTTGGACATCTCTTACAAGAATTTCTTTTTGTATTAAAGCAGAAACCAGTTCCTAAACCCTTTTATTCAACTGTATATCCTGTTTGGACGAATATCAAAAACAGAAGACTGTCATTTTAATTTTTGGAACTGATTTCTCACTGCAGTCTTCTATAACTTTTACAGAGTTCATGGTCCCTAATATCACCCCACCCTCCATTTTTCCTTGGTGGGGAAGCAGCTACCATGGTAAGCCTCTCATTGATAATTAGAGTTTCTGGAAACATGTACTGTTGGTTACTATTTAAGAGCGACTCAATTTGGGCACTCTGGGTGGATGGCCTACATGTTTTCTTGTGGTGCATACCACAGTCCCCAGCATGAAAAATCCTAGGAACTTGAGGAACCAGCACTTTCCAGAATTTTGGAAGACAAAATACAGTCAAGTACTGAAGAGTCCAGTCCCAGTTATAATCATCGTAAGTACAGAAAGTGTCCGTGCACTCAATCAGTTTGTGATAGGCCTCCCGGGTCAAGGCTAGACCCATATTGTGCTCTGTGGATTTCCAAGTTTTCACATCTACTTTGTCAGCAATGCCATAAAAACTGCGGCTGGCAGTGTAGGTCCCCAGGGAGAGCACATCACACTCAGGGCACTCTTGCTGCTTCAACTTCCACATCTTCTTGAAAACGTGGTAAAAGTCCGGGGCTAAGTAGTGATCCTCCTCTAGGAAAAGTATAAGGCCGGCGTAATCTCGAAGCACTTTGACCCTTTCCCACACAAAATGCAGCTTCCACCACCAATGGTGTTTGGTTTGGGAGAACTTGGCCTCGCGATAATGGCCGAAGGAGTCGGGGTACTCGGCGTTAATGCACCCCATCTTCAAAGCTGCGTTCTTCTCCAGGTCCCTGGGGCAATCTCGGGGGTCACTGCCCGGAAACTCGTTGGGGTACAATTGGATGCTGAACGGAAAGAACACCTGCAGAACCGGACAGAAATCCACTCCGGCGATCATCTGATTGATCTCTGTGGACCAGAAGTCATGGCTGAAAATGACCAGGACATTGTCGATGCCCTGGGCTTTCCGAAGGGAGTCCAGTAGCAGCCGGAGGTACTCGGGCCGGTTGTGCACCTGGACGACCAGCACCAGCTCCCGGGGCGCCCAGCCACCAGCCTTGTCCACATTTCTCAGGGTCTGGTCAAAGTTCAGCTGGTACACCAGAGACCGGTACCGCAGCGTCAGGTTGTCGGCCTCGGGCTGCGGGGCCGCCGGGACCAGCGGAGCCGCCGAATCGTTGGAGACCCTGCGGATGCCCACTGACACCGCGGGGTGCTCCCCACCCCGACTGCCCGCCACCCGCGGGAGTTCGGCGTCCTGCAGCAGCGGCGGAGCGAGGGCCTCGTTCTTCCTTTGTCGCCCATTGCTGCTCCACAGGACGAAACCGCAGGCGGCCACCACGAAGGTCAGGATCAGCACCTTCCGCTTGTAGATGCGGAACCTCATGGTCTCCGGGGCTGAGCGCGCGGGAGGACGGGCGCGGAGAGGGCGAGCGGCTTCGGCACGAAGGGGCTGGCGGCCCGGCGGCGACCGTCGAGACGTCTCGGCCTGTGGCAGTCGGCACTGGCCCCCGCAGCTGCCCTCGCTAGCTCATCCCGGGCCCCGGAGGTCTGGGGCCCCGAAGGTTCTCAGCTCCCCCGCGGCGTCCGGGCCCCACACATCCTCCTCGTCTAGCAGCTGCCGCTCGGACAGCAGCCCCGCCGCTCGGAGCCGCGGCTCAGCGTCACCTCGGTCCTTTCCATTCAGCACCGCGGGTAACGGAAGAAGCCCCGCCGCGGCCCTTGTGCGCCCCTGCTCCGTTACCTGCGCCTCCAGCGGCCCGGTGCTCTCATCCTTGCACGGGCTCCGGCGGCCGAGACCCAGCAACGCTGCCTCGCCCAATCCGGCGTGGATCGTTCTGACAACCAGCAACTGGCCCGCGGAGAACCTCAGCCCTCAGGCCCACACCCCTCGGTCCCGCCCCTCCGTCCGTTGATTGGTGCTTCCTAGACGCATCCTGAGACGCCCGGCCCGCCGTGCCCACCGCCTATTGGTTTTCAGCATTGTCGCTCAAACTCAGTTCCTACTTCCGCTTCAGTCCTCCCTTTCCGGTTAGGCACGAGCGGCGTGAGGCGAGGATCGCAGGCTCTCGGGTTCCTGGTAAGCTAAGCGCGTGATTGTAACCGTTCGGAGAGGACCCTTCATTGCTCAGAATCTGGGGAAGGACAAGGCAATTCTAAGAACGGGGAGGCGAGACCCCTTGGTTTGACTGAGTTCAAGACCTGGCTTTTCCGTTTAGGAAAGGTGCCCCACGCATGGCGGTTATTGGCTCGTGGGCCACGCGGGCCTGTTAGGGACACGTCAGCCCTCAGGACTGCTGACGAGTGACCCTGCTTCCGAGGGGGAAAGCGAACCCGGCAGCCGCGGTTCTCCGGCGAGGAACGGGGCTGGCGGTACCAAAAGCTAGTGCCGCCCACTGAGCCAGTCTTGGTCCAGAAGCTAGGAAATGGAGGAATGGCGGGCTTGGAAAGGATTCCAGAGGAATCTGAAGCTCGAGTCTTCGTCTTGTTTACTCGGAAAAGGAAAAAAAAGATAAATTTTAACTTTCTCGATTAGTCCCTACGGGAACACGCTTTATACTAAGAATGGATTGTACTGGGCGTCCCAGGGCGGCTGCACCTATTTAAAAATAAATCTCGTGTAAATTCGCTAATAGTTTGAACAAGTAGGGAAGGGGAAAAAAACACTTGTACGTGCATTTACCCCTACGGAATATGAGTGCTTTGTGGATTTATACCTCAGTGATTTATATAACGTTGGTGTTTTCTGTAGTCACTGATACCAATTTTAAATGTAGTATTTAACATCTGCTTAAAATATTTTACTACAGTTTACACTGCGTAGACCCTATCTCTGCAAAGATGGTCAATGTACCCAAAACCCGAAGAACGTTCTGTAAGAAGTGCGGCAAGCATCAACTTCACAAAGTGACCCAGTATAAGAAGGGCAAGGATTCCCTGTACGCGCAAGGAAAGAGGCGCTATGATCGGAAGCAGAGTGGCTATGGTGGGCAGACAAAGCCAATTTTCCGGAAGAAGGCGAAAACCACAAAGAAGATCGTGCTGAGACTTGAATGCGTTGAGCCTAACTGCAGGTCCAAGAGGATTGCTGGCCATTAAAAGATGCAAGCATTTTGAACTGGGAGGTGATAAGAAGAGAAAGGGCCAAGTGATCCAGTTCTAAGCCTTGTTTTATCTTGTAAATTTGAAAAAGTGTTAAATCAATATTAGAATTATCTGTAAGAAAATATAGTTATTCTTACTCGAAACTTTTGTTTGTGTTTTTATTTAGAATTCTGAATTGGGGGTACAGTAAATCATCAGAAGCGAGCTGTAGTTTATCCTATTTTCAAATTCCACAGGAATTGGAGGCTTGCATCTATATATAAAGGAAGATACTTGCCTCACACTTTACAACTGGGTAAATCGTATAGTAGGAAAAAAACTGACACTTATTTTCTGGTCAGCTTGACACGTTGAGTGAATTCATAATGATTGGGAGTAGACTCAGATTTTGAGAATAAGGTTAAGTCAGGTCTGTGCATAGCAGATTAAGGGTTCAATAATACCCTATAGGACAATAAAAAGTTGATTGGTGTTGTTTAAGACTGATGATCGTGAATGTGAGGCTGTAGTTCAAAACTGATTTCCAACAACAAAAGTTATGAAAATAGCGTGAAAAGTTCAATTCATGAGGGCATAAGCTGCATTTTTTAACCTGTTGGAGATGATTAATCAAGTGTTACATCTTGACAGTGGGGAGGGTTGAGGTAAATGGCATGATTGAAACCAAGTTGAACGAAACTAGTACTTATAAAAGGCAGTAACTGGGAAAGGTTTGTGGAAGAGTCAAGATGGTGTCCAGGTAGAATCACACGCCTGGCACTCTGGTTAGACCTGAAAATGATAGGCATGGGTAGCAAGCCGGAGGAGTGTCGGGAGGGGGAGGTGGCAAACACTGACTAGGGAATGAAAATCTTCAATGGAGGGCATAAGAGATGCTGGGGGGGTGTTGGAGCAGCAACCACCTGACTCAGGAATTACTAAGGCAGAAGTGTGGGTGTGATGGTGGAATAGAAAGAAAGTAAAAGGAAACTGGAAACATCTAGGAAGCAAAGCTATGGGTAGAGGTAAAAACAGGTGTGTACATATGTAAATAATAAAAATTAATAAAAATAGGTATTGGCCTATGTGCATATATTTATTTATATGGCAATATATTGAGGTAGAGGACGGCTTTTTGGGCCTCTGCTCAAGTCTTCCCTCAAGGCAAGAACACTTTGTTCTAACAACCTGGCATTCTGTGATGCTCACTGGGCACAATCGCTGAAGACAAAATGGGTGCACAATGAAATGTGAAGAAAGTTGACGGTGCCTGGCTATCAAAAGATAAGTGGGGGCTTAAAGGCTTGAGGTTATTCACAAGCAACCTTCCAGCAGAGAAGCAACAAGCCCACATGGAAGAAGCACACCCTGTGTGATCATGAGGTGTCCATGGGATCAGGTAACAGGCATCAGAAGACCCAAAACAAAAAACCATATTGCTGAGAACGAGGGGGTTCAGAGCAGAGAACCAAAACCCATCTGTAGACAGTAGTAAGACATCCCCTCACAGGAGGGTCACAAGAAAGGGATGTATCAACCAGGGTGCAGTATAGCACCGATGAAACACAATATTCTTCTGGTTCTTTGAGGCTTCCTCAACCCCCACCATCATGACCCAAGTCCTGCCTTTCAGTTCTGGCGAGGCCAGAGCATGTACAATGATATAGACAAGCGCTCACAACACATGGAGTCCAGATCAGATAAACCCTTCAGGTATAGAAATAGGAGTATTGATAACAAGAGGGGTGGGGGAGGAGGGGAGAAAGGGTGAAACAAGTGTAATGATTATGCTTAACTACCACCCAACCCGTGGGGAAAGGGGACATCAAGGGCTCAAATAGAAAGTAAAGGTTTAGAAAATGATGGCAACATGAACAAGTATGCCGGGTACAATTGATGTATGGATTGTTATGAGCTGTAACAGCCCCCAATAAAACAATCTTTAAAAAAATAAAAACTGGGAAAGGAGGGTAAAGGTTGACAGGACAAATTCTATTTGTGAATTTTAGGTCAACTATACAAGAGTTGACCTAATAGGTGAATAGTTAAAGGAATGCAAAAAGGGCAAAGGACTAGGAAGTCTGGGTGGTGGCAAGTTAAGCACTCATCTGCTGGTTGAAAGATTCAAACCTACCCAGGCTGGTTTTTGGTGATATGCTTCTGAAAGGCCAGCCTTGAAAAATAACTGCTTATAAAGCATATGAGGTATTGAGTAGGGAATCTTCTAAAAGAGCCTTTTCACACACCAGCCTGTGTGCTGTGTGATCATGGTGTCAAAAGGATCAGGTAACAGGCACCAGAAGTCCCCAAACAAAAAACATTTGAGAACCAGGGGGTCCAGAGACCCAAAATCCCATCTGTAGCCAATAGGACAACCCCTCACAGAAGGGTCACAAGGAAGGGATGAGTCAACCAGGGGGCAGTATAACACCAATGAAACACAATATTCGTCTGTTTCTTGAGGCTTCCTCACCTCCTACTATCATGATCCCAGTCGTACCTTTCACTTCTGGCTGGACCAGAGCGTGTACACTGATAGTTAAAGAGCTCATGGCACATACAGAATCCAGGTCAGATAAATCCCTCAGGAACAGAAATGGGAGTAGCAACACCAGGAGGGTTGGGGGAGAAAAGGGAACCAACCACAATGAGGGGGGCAAACAATAGAAACATTGGTGAAGGGAAACACTGGTAGGTGTAAGATATAATTTATCTGGCCCACCAGGCCTTTAGGATGACCCCAATTAGAACAGCCAGTCACAGAGAGGACCACTTGGCAAGCCCCACTATGAGACATGATGGCCCTCACTGACCAATGGCCCTGCGGGGGACAACACCAGAAACAGTGTGGGAATTGCACCCGATCTGATCCCACCACACTGAGGCAAAGCACTGGGGGAGTACAGCGGAACAGCAAGGGAATGGAGCAGCAAGGTCCCCAGTGAAAGCTAAAGGTGGACTTTGGGGCCAGGGCGTGGTGCCCCAACGGACTGGACTGGAAAACACTCCTAAAGGCCAGCGATCCTTGAACTAACTACAAGCCTTTCTTTCTTGGTCTGTCTGGAT